TAGACACTCACGACAAAAAAATATGCAACCTAAGTTCATATATCCGTCAAAACTCTCTCTAAAAATTAATGAAGAAATAAGATACTTTCAAGACAAGGAGGAACTGTGGGAGTTCGTGGCCACCAATCCAACCCTACAGAGAGCGCTGAAGGACATTACAGAGAAAGAGAGGAAGAGATATCAGGATTACAGCTACAGTGGCAGAGAGGCCTCAGTGTACGGGGCAGACCATGGAATGAGGGAATAAGGTGGACAAATTATAGCAGAAAAATGGAGTAGCAGACATGAGGCAGAGACGGTAAGCTAGTCTTTGGTAGAGACAGCTCTGAAACTATATTAAAAAAAAAAAAAAAAGCAGAGGTCATTGCTAATGGTGTATAACGATTTAAAAGACACAGTAGTCCTAGTGCCATATTTAGATTGAATTAAATTTGTTCTGGTCTGTCCACTCATATCAGATTTGAGGACACAGACCTCTAGAACCAAAAATAGCAGGTTATACCATAGTAACTATCCTTATTTTCCTATTGACTTAAGCTGAAATCCTGTATTACTTACATTGTCTTACTAAGACTGATCTTAATTGTATCTGAATCATAAGACTATTGGTTGGCCTTGACTGATCCTATTTGAAATCGGTATGCGTGTTAGAATCAACCCTAAAAGTAGAGGAAACTACTCTGAGCATGACAGGATGTAAAGGATATCCATACTGGTATGAATCAGTAACAGCTCTCAAATACTACAATGCAGTCAAAGATAAGTTTTTATAAAAATAGGTGATAGTATATTTAACTATAATAAGCCAGTGTTGTCGACAAATCTATTGAAAATAACAAGAGAAAACATAGTAGCTACGGAAGATCATTTATATTATAGTTTTATAAGTCTTATCCATTGCATGTTTATCTAGGAAATTGTTTCGCTGTCTTGTTATGACTTGGTTTTCCCTATAATACAGAGAGGATAGGAACAAATACTTTGAGGAAGAGACCTGAAAAACCCGAGGCTTATTTTGTAGCATTATAATATAAATTCTAGCAATCTATTGCTTGCTGATTAAAATGACTCTGGACTGGTTTCTTCAGCTCAACTTCAGTATATGCAGAGATGGGGACGGCTATCACAAAGAGAATGAGAGATGCGATGGTAGTTGGAAATGTCTTCCCTAATCTGGAACTTGAGGACCTAAAAAGACTCCATCATCCTGTAATGATTCGATTTGTTCTATAATATGCAATAAGTATAGAAAGTGGGTGAAGTTAGGGACAACTATTTGTAAGAAGCTAGAGACAGTTAGATAAGGTAGATCTCCAGTGGACTTGCTTTGAAATCTGTATTTCTTTAAATTGTTTTTTATTTTTTTTTTAAATGTTCTGTTCTGTTTTGATATGGTTAACCTTATCCTCTTAGAGATGTAAAACAAATAGGTGGGACTGATAATCATATTACGGAGCTTTTGTTCGGCCATAAAGCAGAATGGTTTGTAGGGTCACTTTTTTGAATGTCATTCTAAATACTTTAATTCTATAACCTGAACAGCCATTTCGAAGAAGACAATTTGTAACTCATCAACTGGCAATTTCTTACCTTTTGTTTGTCTGTAATTTAGTATTATTTCTACCCTTTTTTTTTTAATCTCCATGTATTTTTTTTTTCGTTTCCTTTTCTTTAAATAAATAAAAAATAATAATAATAAGAAAACGCTCATTAAATTGTATAAATAAAAGAGAAGGATGTTAAATTGCCAACTTTTTAAACAATGGATTTGAATTATTTTTCTTTATATTTTCTTAAACTTTCTTTTCTCAATTTCTTATGTGCATTAATACTGTTATCTTAAATGAAGGTCAGAGTAGTATGTTAAACAAGTTACATTCTACCTTTGTGTTTCTACTCCTTATTATGCAATTGATGTAGTTTTCCATACTCTATTTTCTATATATTGAGTTTTGCCATGAAAATACTGACATACTAAACAAAATAATCTTATGTTGTACAAAATCCGCTTATAAAGATATTAAGGTTTCTTCATGTCGATACTAACTTTGATATCTTCTAAACAACTATAAAAGGGAGTAATAGACACTGGAAAAAACTACCAATCATCTAGTTGCTTCAGATCTTTGTGTGTTATATAATACAGTTAGGCTATCAAAAATATATTTATTGACCGAGTGTGGTGGTGCACTCCTGTTATCCCAACACTCGGGAGGCTGAGGCAGGAGGATCATTGCAAATTGGGGACCAGCCGGGGCTACAAAGTGAGCCCAAGACCAGCCTGAACCGCACAGCAAGACCCTGATATGAAAAGCCAAAAAATAGAAAACATATATAAACATTTATTAATGTGCTTCACTGATATTATTCGATCCCTGGTACCGATAAAAAAGGAAAAAGACCAAAAAAAAAGGTATTATTCACCTTAATCCTGAATCTTTTTTTTTTTTTTTTTGTCTTTTTGAGACAGGGTCTCGCTGTGCAGTTCAGGCTGGCCTTGAGCTTACTTTGTAGCCTAGGCTGGTCTCGAACTCCCAACATCCTCCTGCCTCAGCCTCCTGAGTACTGGGATTACAGACATGAGCCACCACGCCCGGCTTAATGCTAAATCTTAATTTTCTCTTTCTATACATATTTTTGTAAGACAGGGTTTTGGCATGTTGTTCAGGCTGCCTTTGAACCCATTATACAGTCCAGGCTGGCCTTGAACTTACAGAGATTCTCCTGCCTCAGCCTCCCAAATGCTGAGATTATAGGCATGTGCCACCATACCTGCTTTGTTAATTTTCTAATAGAAACATTTTTTCCCATTATGGGAATTATTGTCACTGTTTACCCATAAGCAAAAAATTTTGAGTACATTTATTATTGTTTGAGAGAATCAATATATCACTAAAATTTCTTTTATAGTAAAAATATACTACTTTAGGGCTGAGGAAACAGCTCAGCAGTAGAGCGCTTGGCAAACATGTACAAGGTTTGGGGTTCAATCCCCAGGAGGAAAAATTTAAAAAAATAAGAGAAGGTAAGGGAAGAAAAGAACAAGAATGGAAAAGAAAAAGGAAAGGGAATGAGAATACTATTACTTCAGTATTTATAGAAAATGTTAGGGGCTGGGGATTTAGCTCAGTAGCATAAGCGCCTGCCTTGCAAGTGTGCGGTCATGAGTTCAATCCCTGGTACCGATAAAAATGAAAAAGACCAAAAATAAATAAATAATTAATTAAAAAAATAAAAATAATTATAGAAAATGTTATGTGACTGACATGGCATCAAATCATTCATTAATTTTTATTGAAATTATGCAAAAACACTACATGTCTGGAAAGAAATCTGGAAATAAACACACGAAGTAATGTCTTGGACACTGTATAGAAGAATAAAGGCCTTGGGTCAAAAAGAATCTGAAACTTTGATTCACACACTTGCCTAGTCTGTGTAGTCATTATGAATACATGTCCTGCGTCCTCAAATGTAAGCAAATGTAAGCATCACTGAATAAATAGTGGTCTTTATTTTGACTGACAGGGTTTCCTTTTTTGGTTTTAGTTCAATAACACTTTCTATAAAAACTATGTTTTTTTTTTTTTTTGTCTTTTTCCTTTTTATCGGTACCGGGGATGGAACTCACGACTGCCGGGCTTGCAAGGCAGGCGCTTATGCCGCTGAGCTAAATCCCTAGCCCCCAAAAACTATGTTCTTAAAGAAACACACAAAATATGGAATTAAAATTTTTCAGCTGGACAATTTAACCTTGATTTCTTTTCAACTCTGTCTCTAGCATCACAGCCTACCTGTTGTTCCTCAAATTCGCTAAGAGTGCTTTCGCTTCAGGAATTTTGTTGTTCTTTTTGTGAAATGCTGGTACCTGCTTTATGTGGCTCCTCATGGCCTACAGGTTCCTCTGCACACACACACACACACAGCAGTGAGCAGTGTCTGGCCTGCCCAGGTGTGCTCCACAGGGATTCTTCATGGCATTTAGCACCAGCTCATCATGTATATCTTTGTTTCTATCTTGCCTTGCCCCAGTCAAAATGTAAGCTTCTAAAAGGCATGCAGCTCGCTATGCAGCTCAGGCTGGCCTTGAGCTCACTTTATAGCTTAGGTTGGTCTCGAACTAGCAACAAGCCTCCTGCCTCAGCCTCCTTGAGTGCTGGGATTACAGGCCTGAACCACCATACCCAGCTCAAAGGGCAGATTTTTAAAATCAATAGTCTGAACTGTGTCTGCCAAACAGCAGATATACAAGAAATATTTCTTAAATCAATCTATTTAGGTAGTTATTTTTTTATATTTTTTTTTATTTTTGAAAACAGAGTTTCACTATGCAGCTTAAGCTGGCCTTCAACTCACTTTGTAGCCCAGGCTGGCCTCAAACTCACAGCAATCCTCCTGCCTCAGTCTTCTAATTATATACTACCACACCCAATTAAAATTTTTTTCTTATTTGAAGCTATCAGTCAGTTAATGACATACAATTTGAGTTGGAGTGAGAAACACAAATTTCACTGAGCAATCCACATTTTACATCTGATACTCCTCACAATCAATGACATGCATTTATAAGAAAAATCTTTTGAAAGCAGGTTTCCAGACTCAAAGAAGACAGCAGCTACAAGTAAACGTTTGTCAAAATTTTTCAAAGAAAGTCTTGATCATCTTAGTCTACTCTGATACAATACAATATACTTAATAGCTAGCCATCAAATCAGGAGCAACCAGTGTCTTTAAAGGCTATAAAGCATATTCCCTTTCATGAGCCAAAACGCTAATCACACAAAGAAATTAGCTTTCAGTTTGACTATTTAAAAAAAAATTTAGATAATTACAAATGATGGGCTATTAGTTTCAATCAACATACAGTTAAATTACATACTTAAAAGCAAACACGAATCATAAAAATTCAGTAATATGCTCAAATTTAAATCAAAACATGAAACAAAAGCTCCTGACAATCAAAGACAATAATCATTGTCATCTTCCTAATAGAAACATACCTTGCAGTTCTGTAGCAGTCTTATGAGATGTTCGAAGCAATTACTGTTAAGAAAAATGGCCTGCAGAACAGGTCTATCTGTGCAGTCTAGCATAGCTGTGATGGTATCTAGGAAAGTAAAAACAAAACCATCCACGTTAGAGTCAAAATTTAAGATCTAAATTTAGGAAGTTAGACTTTTCAGTTCACAGAACAGATATAAATTAACTGGAAAACAACAGGGAGGAGAAATATAAAACCTACAGTTACAGAAAGGAAAAGTGAACATTTTTATGCTTCGTTATTTAAAATATTTGAATTTAATATATAACTTTGATATATACATATTTCTCAGAGATTTAGGTATTCTTCCATCATAAGGCTCAAGTCTAACCAACTCTGTATTCTTTTACTGATGTACTTTCGTGATCAGAATGGCATTCACATAAACAAGATATGTTTTTATTATCTTCATTCCAGCTACTGGTGTTCTCCTTTGTCTGCACTCTCACTCTGATCCCCTTCTTCATCTCTAAAGTCCACCTCCTAGTTTCCTGTCAACTACTTATTTAGTACCACTTTAAAAGTATTTTACTGCTTATGTGAGAGAAAATGTGATTATTCAACTTTCTTAGACTGGCTTGTTTTGATTAACAGAATAGCCTCCAATTTGATCCACTTTTCTGCAAAAAAAAACAACAACCTAGTAATACTTCTTCAAAGGACATCCAGCATGGCCGATACCCCAGTTTCTAACAGAAAAGAAGTTCATTTGACAAGGACTCAAACTTATTTACCAACTTCCAATTTATAGTAATTATAAAACATGACATGCTAAACTATAAAGTAAAAACATAAATCTTCCTATTAAAACCATTTCAAAGAATGTTAATTTCAAAGAAAATTTTCGTCTCAAAATGTCTAAACTGATACATACATGAATCTATACAGCAAATCATTAACAGTAAGTGAAGGGGAGATCAAATATTAAAAACTTTCATTTTCTTTTTACTTACCTGAATCTTCTACTTTAACTGTAAAGACAATGTTTTACTTATACAATAAAGAACCATCAGTTAATAATATTTATTTTTAACAATACAACATAGGAATGCAATAAGAAATTATATACTGGTGAGGAAGCTTGCAGAGCAGAGATAGATCATACGGACACTGTGAAACAAAACAATGACAGAGGAAAAGAGAAGGAATACACATAGGAGCTCTGAGAGAAAAACACAAAGAAAGGCCTTCAAAAGGAAAGACAGATATTGAATTAAGCCATACAGACATGTTATAAAAGCATATATAAAATTGACTCAATATAAGTAAAAAACACTATACATGACACTGAAAATTTACTTTTCATAGTTTTAAAGTCAGGGCTGATTTTCTTTTTAATAGTGGTACTCTTAGAGTATTACACGTTAGAAAAATCAATTCTGAGGGGCTGGGGATTTAGCTCAGCGGCATAAGCGCCTGCCTTGCAAGCAGGCAGTCATGAGTTCGATCCCTAGTACCAACTAAAAAAAAAAAAAAAAGAAAGAAAAAGAAAAATCAATTCTGTATTAATTATTTGGAAGTCAAAAAACAAAGCATCTGTTATTACAATTTAAAAATCAACACCTTCCATACATTGGTGCTGTTATTGCAAAAGAAAATGCGCAATACAAAAGCAACAGACAGACTCAAGAAATCTCTACTTACTTAGCATTTTGATCTGTAGAGCTATGAATCGGCTTTCCCACTGTCTGGACCTCCTTTGATTAGGTAGAGCTGAATGATCTGAATTGAGCAATTTGAAATAGTTCTCCAGAATAGTACTGGTTTCCACTTGTCGCTGATCAGAACTGCTAGTAAGAAGTACATGCACCACTTCTGTAAGGCACTGCAGGGTGAGTTCTACCTTCCTAACCACTTCTTCAAGATCTCCATCCTCCCAGGAATCACAATCTGCCAAAACTCGCATAAGAACTTCCATGGTGGCTGGAGAAATTGCTTGCAAAGCGTTCCTCTGGAACATTAAAGGCAATAAAAATGAAAAACAATCTAACTGCAGTTCTGCGAAAAAGAATTAATAAACCTGTAAGGCACTTTTTCTTTCAATAAGTCAGCACATATAAAATTTTAGTGAATAATTTAACAGACACTGATGGTGTTTTATAAATGTTAAGTTTTCCCTTTCTCATGCTGAATGAAAAATGTACTTCCTGTCTTCCTTTGCAGCTAAGGGTAACCATGTAACAGTCCTGCTTAATGATACGCGGTATACATGGAGAGTGCAGCACTTTGCCCTTGGTCCTTTTACCTTCTCCTATCCTAAACACCTTACAGTATTAGTGAAAGGAAGTACCACAACGGAAGGAGCTCAACATTCAGCCTCCCCATGTTCCTTAACAGGGGAACCCTGGTGTTTCCCTAGATGCTCAGCTACCAAAAGGAGGATCACATTTCCTACCTCCCCTGCTGCTAAGGGAGTTGAGAAAGCAAGTTCTATTTTTTAAATGTGAACATATCTGACTTCTTTGCAGTCCTATCACTCAGACTGGCAAATAAGACTTTTTAAAAAGACAGCAAATATCAGCTTTTCTCTCTTTTTGTTTTTTTCTGGCACTAGGATTGAACCCAGGGCCTTCAAAACTGAGCAACAGAGAATGACAGAAACATATGATGAACGTTTAGATTTGTAACAGTAAAAGACACACTGCCATTAATCTCTCTCAAAATACTTTCCCTTGCTTCTAATGCATTTATCTAATCAATGGTGCCAGTTTCTGAAGTAGTCTGGGACTACTGAAATGTGTATTTTTTGAGACATGGTCTGCTTATGTAGTTTAAGCTGGTCTCAAACTCCTCAAGATCCTCTTGCCTCAGCTTCCTCAGTGCTGGAATTATACTGACATGTGCCACTACACCCAGCTTGTGGGGTAATATTTCGAAATTTAAACACCATGTTTTTCAAACGAACAGGAGAAGAGAAAGAGAAGGGAAAGGGAGAGTTGGCCTACATTTGTGACTCGCTTGCCTCAGACCCCAAAAGAGCTCCAGTTACGTGAATGCATCACCATGCCTAGAAAGCATCAGCTTTTCACTATCTCTCTGGAGACCACCGGCACATGCCACTTCTCTCATCATGACTACTTCAAGTTCTGTGCCCCAAATACCAGCATAATGGCCAGAACTCTAGAGTTTTCTTAGGGTTAGGGTTAGTATAACGATAACAGAGGGAATTCAGCAGGAGTCCCTAAAGACACCAGTCGCTAGGTTAGCCCTGGATGTTTTCTACTTCTGCAGAGTGCAGGAGACTGAACCACAGTCCTGTATATGCTATGCTCATACTCCACCCTGGAGCTATGTCCCAGCCCCACATTTTTAACTGAGAGAGCAAAGTACACTAACTTAATTGTTATGAATTTATTAGCTGCTTTTTATGGCAAATCATGTATCTACAACTGTGAGATGCTTAGTTTTTATAACTGTAGGTATTCTGTTGAATGCTTATGTATCATGTCATGTAGTCATCATAATTACCCTGTAAATGTTACTGTTGCCATATCACCCACTAAATAAAACACACATAAATACTTTTATCCATTGTTAATTAGTTTCAGATGAATATGAGACTCACACTCAGTACTAAAACCCTTGCTCTTAACACAAAACATTAACAGGCTATATTTTGGGTGAATTCAGATTTTTTTTTTTTTTTTTTTTTTTTTTTTAGTAATGGGGATCAAATTCATGACCTTGTGCCTATCAGGCAGGCACGTAAGCCACTGAGCAAAATCCCCAGCCTGTGTATTGAGAGAGAAAAAGAACAAATTTGCCCATGGGAAGCCCAGGCACAATGATGTGCTCAGGAGACTAGACTTCGTTTTTTCAGTTTATCATGAGATGATCATTCTTATGTCTTCAGATATTCGATTCATCTAAATTCCTTTGTACCTACCCCACATTCAACAAACAATTTTCTGCAAGGCACATCTGTAATCCTTGTACTCAGAAGGCAGAGGAAGGGGGATTGCTGTGAGTTCAAGACCATCCAGGGCTACACGTGAGTCCAAGGCCAGCTTAAACTATCTAGCAAGACACTGTCTCAAACAAACAAACAAACAAACAAACTTTCTGACTTTGGTATAACTACAGCTATATCCTGACCACAAGGATGTTCGAGTATTTTCAGTATAGAAAATAAATTAAGCGTCTATTATCTACTAAATTTTCATGTTGTTTACATTATGGACATTTCTTAGGGCTGTACTGACCCTGGGTACTAACAAAAGTGTGTATCACTGATTCAAAAAGAGAATGAGATCCCAACAAAACACTTCGATTTTCATTTATGCCTATCTATCAATTCTTATTCATGGCAGTGAAAAAACGAGGGAAAGGGAAGATATTGACCCAAAAGAAGAATATAACTGATGTAAGATTTAACTGGAAAATATGACATTGAACACTCTCTTTCATTGTAAGGAGATCCTTATCTTCCATCGAGGTAAACAGGAGAAGGCCATACAACCCACCAGGAAACCCAAGTGGGGATTCTGGCTTAATACCAAAAAGGAACAGGATAGATAAAAGAAAGAAAGAAATTTAAACCATGCTCTAGACACCACAGGTAGTAATAAAAATCAGGCTTTAAAATTTTCAGTGAGTACAAGGGTTAAAACTATGTGTAGAGAAAATTAAAAAACAAAGATAAAGAAGAAAGGGAAATTGCAGCAGAATCAAGACAGGAAACTCATGATAGTATTACAAAATAAATATCCAAGAAAGCAGATCTAAATTGGGCACATTTAATTTAAAAGATTAAATATACAAAGTCACTGTTTACAAAGTGCAGTTTACTTGAAAAATGACAAATGCTCTTTCAAATGTTCCTAACAGAACAGGAAGTACTAATTAAATTATTAAGTAAAGTTTATTTTAAATTATTTTAAAGTAAATTATAAAGTAAAGTAAGATTATTAAGTAAATTTCTTATTGTTATGGGACTAACAGTTTCTTTTGCTTGGCTTTTACACATAAATAACCAAAACACTGATTTTGGGGTTTTTTGTTGCTGGTGGTGTTGGTGTTTTGTTTCTTGACACATAGTTCTTTATAACAAATTGCAATTCTCACCATACCATTTCAGGTTGGCCTTGAACTCCTGCCAATCCTCCTTCCTCAGTGTCCTGCGTGCTAGAATTACAAAAGGCACATGCCACCACACCCGGCTTCTCTGGTTTCTTACCGAACGTAGACAAGGGTTTTGTCCCTTAAGCCCAGAATGCTAAGGTAATATGTCAAAAGTATTAGCACAATTATGTGTCTTTAAATAAAATTTAATTAAATTTTTAAAACTACAATTTTTAGCCAGGGATGGTGGTATACACCTATAATCCTAGAATCTTGAGGCAGGATTATAAATTCAAACACAACCCAAGAAAATTGGTGATTCAGCAAGATCCTGTTTTAAATACAAAAGCACCAAACAAAAAAACAAAACACCAAACAAGAGCTGTGGATGCAGTCACTGTAAGCGTGGGGCTAATTTCCAGCACCAAGAAACAAAAAACATTTCTAACTTTTAAAGTGAAATTGTAACTGAAACATACAATTTGTTACAAAGAATGTAACACAGTAATGTCAAAAAAATATTTTACGTGAAAGAAAAATCGAATTGTTAAAATAGGGAAGAATTTTTAACCTTCTAGGTATGGTGTCACATGCCTGTAATACTCTAGCACTGGGGGGAGGCTGAGCCAGGAGAATTGCAATTCCAGGTCCACCTAGACTGCACAGGAAGTTAAGGTCAACCTGGATTACAGAGTGAGACCCATCTCAAAAAACACAACAAAAAAGAACTTTCAACCTAACAGAAAGTAAGGGGAAAGAGCAAGAAAATTCAAGGTTGATATAATCTTAGAAAAAATTGTGTCTTTATTTTCACTAATCTTGAACTTAAGTTTACTTTCACCTTCATATTAAAATATGAACAAAGCACATTTTTTTAAAATTTTTTTTTTGTCTTTCTCATTTTTATTGGTACCAGGGATTGAACTCACGACTGCCTGCTTGCAAGGCAGGCGCTTATGCCGCTGAGCTAAATCCCCAGCCCCAACAAAGCACATTTGTAGTTTTATCACTGATGCTTATTGTAAACACTAAACCACATTTGTGGTTTTATCACTGATAAATCATACACATTTTCGTATATGACAGCTGTTGACGATAGCCTCTTTTTTCCTTTTTGAAAGGTAGGATTTCACTGTGCTGCCCTGGGACTGCCTCAGACTCTTGGGCCCAAGGGAACTTCCTGCCTCAGCTTCCACAGGCATGACCAGCATGTCATTCACTGCTGGACTATCTTATTTATGTGTTATAAGAAAATATGTTATTACAGCACAACTTGTATGGTTAATATTTCAGTATGAGTGGTTCTCTTGGCGACCTTAGAGATCTTACATACTTAAAAACATTCCAGCGACAGGCTTTATCAAACTGCCAAAAGGATATATACACACATTTAGTAATGACAGAAAAGTGCGTAGACTTACACACTTTAGAAAGCAAGCTGCAGGGGCTGGGGATGTAGCTCAGTAGCATAAGTACCTGCATTGCAAGCAGGCGATTGTGAGTTCAATCCCCGGTACCGGTAAAAAGATTAGAAGGTTAAAAAAAAAAAAAAAGAAAGCAAGCTGCTAGGATTTAATTTCTTTAAATCAACAACAGAAATTACACCTTAAAGTAAGAAATAGCAGCTGAAAGCCAACAAAAAATATAAACTTAGAATACTAAAAACTGTTAAATTTATTTATCTAGCAATCTTACTGTCAATGGTATTATTTAAATTTCTTAGAACCTAGATAAAAATGTGAAAAAAGGGTAAGTTTTAAACAAAATATAAACTTAAAACTGTATGGTGTATGAAGTTAGAAAAATGAAGAACACGTTAAGTGGGCTGGGGATTTAGCTCAGCGGCATAAGCACCTGCCTTGCAAGCAGGCGGTCGTGAGTTCGATCCCTGGTACCGATAAAGAGAAAAAAAAAAAAAGTGAAAGAACACATTAAGCAATCGATGGATAATCTTTGGCATTGTTAAGTTATGATTTGTATCAACTATGACTTATATATCAATTTTCAACACTGTTCTCACCTGCCCACCAGCTACAATGGCTCCGAAGAGGTGCAATAAACAACACTTAAGGCTTTCCTTGAGATGTTCACTTTCCTGAAAACATTCTGCAAATACAATACACAACAAATAAACACAGTTTCTTTCACAACAGGATTAATTTCTAAAGAGTATGTAAAATTAAAGCATGAAGAACTATCTGGCAAAAATGCTGTCAGAGGCAAAGATGGTAAGCATTTTATCTCAGGAAAAAGAGAAATAATCAGGTAGCATTTTGGTACACTGTGATTTCTCATTTAATTCTAATAATATTCCGCAGGAAAATATCCTATTCCTATTTATAAACAAGAAGTTGAAGGATCAGAGGTTAGCATCCTGATTGAAGTAACAGGGTCACTCAGTAACAAGACCTAGACATCAACCCAAACCTGAGATGAAATTAGATTTTGTTGGATTTTTTTTCTATTATTATTGCCTCTTATTAGTACAGACTTTAGTCAATTATAAAATGAAAGAGTCAGACAAAAATATTTCCTGTGTCTACAACAGGGCCAAGATCCTAAATAACAGCAACTTTTCTCTTACCACCATAAATTATCTTGTTATTTTAAAAATGTTACAAGTGGACATGACAAAGAAAAAGTCTCTCCTTGATTTCTCCCCCAGCATACCACACCACTCTCATCTTTGTTTTTTGGGTTTTGTTTGTTTTGTTGAGACAAGGTCTCACTACATATTTCAGCTTTGAACTCACCATGTAGTACAGTGTGGCCTCAAACTCATGGTGATTCTCCTGCCTCAGCCTCCCAAGTGCTGGGATTACAGGCATGGACCACCACGCCTGCCTTATCACTCCCCATCTTGAACAAAAGAAAAAAAGCAAAAGCATATACGCAGTTTTCTCTCAGTATCTGTGGGTGACTAATTTCAGGACTCTTGCTTGAAGACACCAAAACCATGAACACTCAAATTCCTTATATAAAATGGTACAGTGTTTGTGAATCACCTGTGCTGTTCCCGCTGTGTACTTTAAATCATCTCTCCATAATTTAAATACAATGTAAGTACTACAGAAGCAGTGTTCTGCTGCACTGTTTCAGGGAATGACAAGGAAAAAAATCTGTACATGTTCAATGCAAATGCAACATGATTGCTGATTATTTTAAAATCATGTTTAGTTCAATCTACACATGTGAAACTCATGGATAGAGCTGGCAGTACTGCATCATTTTTAAAATTTAATACATTTTAATATTGTTACATCTTAACAGATACTGTCCTGTTTATTTTTATGACCAGAAACAATATACCTTTATGGTGATGTACATTTACTTAACCAGTTCTCTACTGGTAAACTTACGCTTTTCCCTTCTTTTGATAATTCTATAAGAAATATAATTTCACATATAATACTTCATACTTAGGTAAGATATAATTACAGAATTATTGCCAGTATTCTATGTAATATTACCAAAAAAGAAACAGCTTTAAAGTAAAAATGTATTTTTTTTAACCTGTAAAAATTTATTTGGAAGCCAGGTGCAGTGGCTCATGCCTGTAATCTCAGCACTCGGGAGGCTGAGGCAGGAGAATCGTTGCGAGTTCGAGACCAACCTGGGCTACAAAGTGAGCTCAAGGCCAGCCTGAATTGCACAGCGAGACCCTGTCTCAAAAAGACAAAAAAAAATTTATTTGGAAGAGTAAAAGTGAGGGAGAAACTGGCTGCACAGAGCGGGTTCGGGCTGAGTAAAAGGGAAAAACAAGATAAAAGTACACCCTGGAGGACACAGGGTGGACTATTGTGAGGAATAAACCAAAGCCGAGGTAAAATGTACTGCTATGTATTTATAATTAAATGAAGTCATCCTATGTCAGAATAACTGGCACTATAAACACCTAAAAAACTGATGCAACTGCTTCTAGAAATTGGGTCAGAAAACAGTGATATACAGAAACAGGTAAACAAAGTACACCCAGGACCAACTCAGATACCTGTTTAGAGATACTGTATTGGCTACTGCACAGAAAGGAGAAATCAAAAGAAAAAAATGCATATTTGTTGAATTAGGGAACCAGAAATAAATGCTTGGTGGGACACACGCAACTGGAATTTGTGAGAGGAAGAAGATAACACAGGAAAAGTGCTCCAGAAACATGCACAAGACTTACTTTGTGTTTGTCCATCATTCCTGACACAACAGTGTCAAGCTGCACAAGATAGATGAAAAACTACAAGGCTAAATAATTTTGATTTTACACAGAGACAGAACAGTGTTCCATTCAGCCACAAATGGACTCATAAGAAAGTTAATAGACAACAAGGATATAAAATATATCATGTAATCTCTAATTACAAAATTTCAGGATTAAATTAATATTTGACAAAGCATTCAAAAAGTATTACTGGGGCCGGGAGTTTAGCTCAGTGGTGCCTGCTCAGTAAGTGCCTGCTTTGCAACTCAAGGTCATGAGTTCAACCCCTGGCACCAAGAAAAAAAAAGCTAAAGAGGATAATAAATGGTCTGTAAAACAGAACTTACCACACTGAAATTATATAAGAAAGTAATGAAATAAAGGTATTGTATCTGGAGATCATTTTCTTTTCTTTTTTTTTTTTTTTTTTTTTTGCTTTTTCATTTCTATCGGTACCAGGGATCGAACTCCCGACCGCACATTTGCAAGGCAGGCGCTTATGCCGCTGAGCTAAATCCCCAGCCCCCTGGAGATCATTTTCATGAGACAGCAACAAAAATGAAGAAAACCCCTCTCTCCAATGCTGGAGCCAAAGCAAAGGAAATGAAGGATAAGGCAGTGCTGAAAAGTATTAAAAGTCATGAAAAAAAAGTCTCCTACTTTTGGTAACCCAAAACAAAGCAGTCCTAAAAGCAGCCCAAATAGATTACAAGAATGTCCCAGAAGAAATAAACTTAATCACTACACCATCACCAACAATCTCCCAAAAATTTAACCCAACATGAAAAAAAGAGAGCAACACATTCCTTAAGTTCCTGTGCAATCAGTGTCAACAAGTACCTGATCAAACCGGTTGTGAAGAACTTCTGCAACTGAAATGGCCAACGTCAGGCTGGATAGACAGCAAATAGCTTATGGTTTACTGGCTTTGGTCAACAAAACTGAGATTATCTGAATATATGGCTGGCTAACCCTAAACACAGTTTTGCACCACAGGACAACACTTGCATCGCTCAGGGACTGCCTGTACCACAGTGGTCCTATAAGGTTAGAATGGAGCTGAAAAATACCTAGCACCTAGTGAAACCATAGCCAGCTAATGTTATACAGAGAGTAACACATCACTAACGTGAATAATACAAGTGTATTAAACTGTGCCTCTCTAAAATCCATGTATTAAAGCCCTAACTCCCTTCCACAGTGACTATGAGAGATACAGCCTCAGAGGAGGTGATTAAGGTTAAATGAGGTCATATGAGTGAAGCCTTGATCTAATAAAACTAATGTCCTGTAAGGCAGAAGAGACATGAGTCTCTCTTCAATGCATAAGGACACAGCAATAAAGACACCATCTGCAAGTCAGAGACCTCACTAGACACTGAACCCTAATGTAATCTTGATCTGAAAACATCCCAGCCTTCAGAACTACAAGAATATAAATATACTTCTGACATTTTAGCTACCCAGCTTATGCTACTTTTATTTTGTGATGGCAGCTAGAGCAATTACCTTGACACAAAAACCACATGAAACATAAGAAAACAAACACCACCTACAAATCCATATACAGTCTGAACATATATATAAAAATCTTTAACAAAATATTAGCAAATCAAATACAGTATTACAGAAAATAGATAATACAAAAATATAATCATAACCAAAAGTAGTTTAGCCTGAAAATGCAATGTTAATTTTACAATCAAGGGCCCAGGTGTGGTGGCGCACACCTGTAATTCTAGCATTTGGGAGGTTGATGCAAGAGAATCATTGTAAATTCAAGGCCAGTCTGGGCTACAAAGTGAGCTCAAGGCTGGCCTGAGCTACATAGCAAGACCCTGTCTCAAAAAAGGCAAAAAAAAAAAAAAAAAAGAGAGAGAAATTTAACAGTCAAAAATCAAAGCTGGGGGCTAGGGATATAGCTCAGTGGCATAGTGCCTGCCAGCCAAAGTAAGGTTGTGAGTTCTGGTACAAAAAAATAAAAAATAAAAATCGGTCAATCAAAACTGGGCTAGGTTTGGTAATGCACACCGATAATCCCAGCACTCAGGAGGATGAGACAGGAGGATCACCTGAGTTACACAGTGAGTTCAAGACCAGCCTAGCAAGACCCTGTCTCAAAAAACAGAAGAGGTACACAAATCTGTAATCCTAGCAATTGAGAAGCCGAGAGAGACAGGAAAATCACTTCAACTTTGGGACCTGTCTGAACTATAAAGCAAGATTCAGTCTGAACACACACACACACACACACACACACACACACACACTCCCTCTCTTTCTCACACACTCACAAAGAAAAATCAAACAAAAAAATCAATCTACAACACTGAATAACAGGCAGAAGATCTTTTAAAATGTATGAATCATCTTAAATAGAAGCAGAAATATGAAAAAAAAGTCTATATTCATAATAAAATTTCCTCTACGTAATAAAGGACATCAGTTTAAAAATCCATAGCTGCTGGGCATGGTGATGCACATCTATAATCTCTGCAATTGGGAGGCTGAGGCAGGACAACCACTGGGTATTCCAGGGCAGCCTGGGCTACATAGCAAACTCAAGGCTAGCCTGAACTACACAGAGAGACCTTGTCCAAAAAAAAAAAAAAAAAAAAAAAAAAATTCATAGCTTCCATCATATTTCCCATGTACACACAGAAAAAAGGCATCAATGTCTTCTCCCACTACTTCTACTCAATAATATATAGTTTATATGGTTTGGAAAGGAAAATCCTACTTTGTAGATAGATGACTGTCCACATAAAATTCTAAGCATTTATATAAAGTTACTACAATTTACAAGTGAATTTATTTAGCAAGGTCATAGGACTCAACATCAATACAAAAATACATTTTGTACAAAAAATACTTTTATATGCTGTAATAAATGGAAAGTACAATTAAAAATAAATTATTTGGGAGCTGGGGATTTAACTCAGTGGCATAAGCACCTGCCTTGCAAGCACGTAGTCATGAGTTTGATCCCCAGTACCAGAAAAAAAAAATTTATTTGGTGCCAAGGAAGATGGCGGATCAATAAGCAGTAAAGTAAAGAGCCTCTCTGAGAGAAACAGCTCAGAAGCTGGAATAAAACATCCTTGAGAAGACCAGACAGAAGGAGATAGATGCTCTCAACCCAGGAAGAAACTAAAGAGGAAAAAAAAAAAAAAAGAAAGAAAGAAAGAAAAAAAGAAAAGGAAAATGTGGATGGAAGGCTGTAGCCAGACTTGCTGTCACTGGAATCAAAATTCGAAGACATGTGGTCACTGTGAAGTTGGAGATTGGCAGCCTGAGGGCCTTGGTGGAAGGACATGGTCACAGAGGAGAGCAGTGGAGCGGAGAACAGCACTGGCTTGGCTCACAGTGAGTATGGGAAACTCAGTCCTCCCGTGAGGGGAGGACAACATTTGGCTGGGCAACATCTTAGAGTCAGGCAGGATAAGCCTGGAACCAGAACTGCAATGGCTTCAGTCAGCCACTCCTAGTGCAGCGCAGATTGGTGAGAATTGCTTGGACTGAGTCCCGCCTCTGTGCGTAATCCAATAGCCAAGGACAAGGTCTCCCTGAAGCTATATCTAACCAGCCCTGTCCCCACAGCACACACTCATGTGGTAAAGATTCCTAGAGCTTAACCAGCTCAGAAGGGAGGGCCCAGCCTGGCCCGCACCTGTTTGTACTTCAGTGGCCATCAGCAGACTGGAGAAGGCAGCAATCCCTAGCCAGCACACTTCAGAGTATGTCTAGCCAATACAGGAAGTGTCAGGGACCACCACTACCCACTTGTCTGGAAGAAACCAGAAACATAACAAGAGGAAGAAACAAAAGGAAGTCTCCAGCCTCCAACACAAGCAGTACTGGCCCAGGAGAGGTAAACACAGAAGAGATCAGGAGTTGCACACCTGCAGTTTCAGAAAAAGGATCATATGACATAAAGAATTACCTTTGTGACATTATAAAAAAACTCAAAACATAAATATTAATACATGCAAAAGTAGATATAAGAAAAATAATAAAATAATATTTACCTCTCAAGAAGACACAGAGGGAAGAATAAAGGAGCATAGAAAAAGGAAAGAAACCTTTGATGAAGAATATAAAAAAAATCTAGAATACATGAAACAGATTCAAAGAGATTACCAGGAAATTAAAAACTTCCAATGAAAGCTGGCAAATCTGCTTGAAAGAAACTAAAGATAGACTATCAAACCTTGAAGACCGGTTTACAACGTGTGCTCATGAAAGGAAAGATCTCATAAAAATAACAAGAAACCAGGAAGTAACAACACAAAAGCTAGAAGATGACAAGAGGATCTAGAACTTAAGAATAAAAAATGTGAGTGAAGAAGCAGGGGTAAATACAAAGGCTATTTACAGAAATAATTAAAAGAAAACTTCACAAGCATAGAAAAAGGAAATGATATTCAGATAGATGAGGCATACAGAACTCCAGCCAGCTATAACCAAAATAGATCTATGACCAGACATATAATAAATAATCAAGATCCCAGAAATTCAACACAAGAACAGAATACTAAAAGCTGTCAGAGAAAAGAAATAGATCATCTACAAAGGAAACCCCATCAGAATCACAACAGACTTCTCGACCCAAACCATCAAAACAAGAAGAGTTTGGAGCAAAGTATTCCAAGCCCTGAAAGAAAATAACCTTCAATCCAGATTGATGTACCCGGAAAAACTATCTCTCAAAATTAATGGAGAAACAAGATACTTCCATGACAAAGAGGAACTTGGGGAGTTTGTGACCACCAATCCAACCCTACAAAAAATACTGAAGGACAATCTAGAGAGAGAGAAAAAAAAAAAGACCATGATTTCAAGAATAGCAACAGAGGAGGCTGACTGAATGGGGCAGACAGTGGAATAAAGGGGAAAAGTAGACAACCAATGGCAGAAAATAGCATGGCAGGGAGGAGGCAGAGAAGATCGGCCATAATCTCTAACATGGATGGCCTAAATACATTAACAAAAAGAAACACAGACAGAGTGGATCAGGAGATAGGGCCCATCAAGATGCTCTATATAAGAAATATATTTAATCTGAAAGACGGTTTATAAACTGAAAGTCAATGAAAATAATGCTCTGTGTGATAGGGAACCAGAAAAAAGAGGGGATAGCTCACCTATCAGCTGCAGATTGGTTGGAAAGACATAACACTTTTATACAATGGAGAACTACTCACCCATAAGGAAGAAAAACCTTGAGGCTTTTGTAAGTAAATGGATACAACTTGAGACCAAGCTCAGGGGTAAAAAGGTTCAGAACCACTTAGGTAAATAGTGGGTTGCCTCCCTAATCTAAAAACCAAAGGAGTTAGTGGGATGCAAAATATACTATGCACTTTGGGAAAGTGAAAGGGGAGGAATTGTCTAAATAGTGAAGGCAGAGGACATTGTTAATCTTGTATGATTTGAAATCTATGTTGCTTTCATCACTCTGTGTAGTTTGGTTATATTCTGTTCCAGTTTGCCTACTTGTACTAGATTTGAGGGCATAGACAGCTATTCCAAAGATAGCAGGATATACTATGGTAACCATTTTAAATTTCCTATTAACTTAATGTGAAATGCTGCATTGCTTTCACTGCCTTGCTTTAACTGATTTTATTTGAATCTGTTTTGTTTGATTGCTGTCTTGTCTTGACTGATTTTATTCAAATCTTTTATGTTTGATAGTATCAAGTCTGAGAGTATAAACAACAACTCTGAAGGCAGTAAGATTCACTACAATACCTAGTTTGGTTTGACTATTATCCTCTTTTGAAGCCCTATAATGTCTTCAATGTTTTGTTTTTATTGATTTTGTTCCATACCGCTACGTGGAATTTTACTGTACCTGATGATCTGGGCAACTCTACTGAAGATAACAAGAGACGTCATAGTAACCATTGTTGATAACCTCGTATTGTGGTTTTAAATCATGTACTATGTCCATCCTTTTGGACATAGTACAAATGGACATAGTACAAAAATGACTCCATTTTTTTTCTCATTTGCTTTTATTCTTTTCAAAATAAAAAAAATTATTCATGGAGTGAAAAAAACATGAAAAATTCAGGATACATTAAGAAAACATCTACACAGTTCACACATGCAGGATATAAAGGGTTCTAAATTGGATATGGTGTCATATGCCTATAATTCAAGGATTCAGGAGGCTGAGGCAGGAGGTACCCTCTTGAGTTTAAGACCAGCCTGGGCCACTGAGTTCAAGACCAGCAGCTGACTATATACAAAAGGACATTGTCTCAAAAACAAAAACAAGATATAAAGGGTTCTATGAAATACTGTGCTTTTAAACCAACATAGCTCTTGTATCCATCCACCAAATTTGTTTTCATAACCTCAGCAGCAGGACCAAAGAAGAGCCCCTTGACTGCTGCAGACTCCTGCTAAGCACAAACAATTTAAACTGGTCTAAGGCATGCAGAATTTCTATTACCACAAGGCCAGTTCTGGACATAGTGAATCATGGAAATGTTAATTTGATTATCTAATTAAAGTCAATTTTACTACTGGTCATAATGCAAAGGGGTCACTGCAATTATTTTCACTAAGCAGACAAAATACTAGTTCTGTCTTATTCTACTTCACAAGAAAAATAAAAAAGAATTAAAGCAAACAGCAAATTGTTAAGATCAGGAAAATCTGAATACAGAATATAATCAGTAAACATATGCAGTGTTCCTTTTCTATTTGCAAATTTTTCTGTATTTTAAAGTTAGTATGATCATTTTAAAGAAGGAAAACCAGCCCATACGAGTCACACATATACACAGTGGCCAGGACTCTTCCAGGTTGTGAGGGCTTTTATCTGAGTGGGTGCTAGGAATCAAACCCAAAGCCTTGTGCACACAAAGCATGGGCTCTCCCACTGAGCTACACCTTCAGCCATGTTTCCTGTTTTCCATAAAAATTCTGAAGTTGTAAAGTATGTTACTATAGTAAAATATTCTGCTCACACACACCAAATCAGCTCTTCTTAACAGAAAAACACCAAGTGAAAACAATCACCAAAAATAAATTACTCTAGTGACATGTTCTCAACCTTTATCTTATAAATTTAAAATTAGGAGTTCAGGTCAGATTCAGAATAAGAATAAATAACCAGAGAAAAATGAAAATCAAGGTGAAAGTAATTAGTGTGTTACTATACTTACGGTAAAAAAAAGGAACAAATTCCACAGTGAGAGAAGCTGGTTTATGTTTCTGTCTGCTCTTTTCCACAGAACTAAGGGTTCGTCTATTATTTAAAAAAGACAATTAATTGTAACATGGTCAAGTAGAAATGGTACAATTACAAACATAATCATAAAACAAATTTAACATTCATTTCTAATTAATATACTGAACAATTATCTCCAAGACTGACATAATTCTTAAAAAGAATCTAGCAAATAATTTAAATGATCACCAATAAAAGATTTCCTCTTCTAAATTACAAAATGTGAACTTATAGCCAGTTTAATTTCTAAATAACTGGAAATTAGCCCAGCAATGGGGCACCTTTTAGAAACAAATCCCAAAACTGCAACTGAAAACCTATTTATTTATTGCAAAAGATCAACACTTCAGTTAAACCTGAGTAGTAAGTTTTAGTTTAGAAAAAACTTATACATTTATCTTTTGTTAAAAACAACATGGGTACCACAGGTTTGCCCTAACTAAGCTGGCCAGCACTGCTGAACTGACAACTATGGCTAGTGGCTTCTTATTAATACTACGCTAAAATTCCTCAGAAGCTAGGTCACTGCCACTTTCTGAGACTCCTACAGGACACAATGGGTCTCTCTGATTAGCCTTTTTCATCTTAATGACATGGATCTAGTGTGATGGAAATTTTGTACAGATTTTGTAGTATCGAAAACAAACTGCACATATTTTTACTCAGGATCATTCAACATAAAAGGAATTTCTTAGGCATGATAGCATGGAGATTGGAAAATAAAGGCTAACATTACAATGATACTTTTAACTGGTGAAAACAAAAAAAAAAATCAGGCATTTTTTTTCATGCTCTGTAAAAGCACTTAAAATTGTTAAAGTCAATAAAAGTACAAAATATCCTAAAGGCTAGATACTTAGAAATTCTGTACATTTAAATATAATCTACATTGGTTTTAGACACTTCTTTCTTAAGTGACCATAAATGAGCTATTAAAATTATATTCCTTATAATTCAAATCTATAAACAAAAGCCAAGTGACGATAGAATAAGCCAAGGAGCCGTAACTGGACTTAGCGATGACAGAATGGAGTCCAAAGCTCATCTGCGCCTGGATTCACCAGCAATCACATCAGACAGACACCATTTCTTATGGCACTGCTTTCCAAACTAATGTTGACTTCCAGTGTGTACAAGGCATGAAAGTGATCAGACTTCCATTACTTAATGTTTAACATCTTAGGACATAATTAGATCTTCCTATTAAAATCACTATCAAAGACACATTTGTCTTTATGACGAGACAGAATTTTTATAGCTTCAAATTAAAACTTAAATAATATGATAGAAAATTCATTTTAAAAGAATCAAATTTCGCCTGGCATGGTGGCATATGCTTGTAAATCCCAATGCTTAAAGGCTTATGCAGAAGAATATCAAATTCAAACCCTGCCTGGACAATTTAGCAACTTAGTGAGAACCTTGTCTCAAAACAAAAAATAAAAAAGGACTTGGAAAGAAGCTCAGTGCAAAAGCACTAGGTTCAAGACCCAACACTGAAAAGGAAAAAAAAGAAAGAAAAATGTGAAATTTGATTGTTTTCAACTATGTCTTAATTATGCAATTATTTCTACTTTGTTACATATTACTGTATGTTCTAGTCAAACAATCTGTGCTAGCAACACTAAATATACTCACCTGATTGACAGAATGAAAATGTATACCTGTAATTTTTTTTGGCACTGGGGACTGAACTGATGACCTCGCATTTATCAGGCAGACACACACACTGCTGAGCTAAAACCTCAAGCCAGTAATGAGAATTTAAATGCTAACATAAAGAGATAAGCACTATTCTATATATTAGAACACAAAAATTAAAGCCTAGGTGATTTGTACTATATTTTTTGTTTTGTTTTGAGATAGGGTCTTACTATGTAGTTCAGGCTGCCCTTTAGCTTAATATATAACTCATGCTGGCCTCAAATTTGTGGCAACCCTCCTGCCTCAGCCTCCCAAGTGCTAGGATTAAAAGCATGAGCCAGCACACCTGGCCTGTAATGTACCATTTATTAAAACAGTAAGGCTAAAAATGAACTTTCATCATACACCATTTTTAATACACACACAGCATGCTTGATGGTTCCATTATTATCTGTTATTTGGTGCAAACATCTAACACCTGGCTGATGCTAACACACACCACCTGGTTTTTGAGAGTGCTACAAAACATGTTTGTATCCCAGTTTTCTAAGTTACATTCCTTAATGAATTTAGCCAGTTTCTTTTGTATTAGTGTTAATGTTAAGGCCCTAAGATATAATAATTTATTTTAACTCTTTATTTGGAAATAAGTCCAAGCTCCTGCAAAAGCTGCAGTAAGAATAGTGCAAAGAACATCAAATACAGTTTACCTAAGTTTACTACATTTCATCCCAAACCTTTGTCATATGCATACTTTCTCCCCATATATGTATATATATGGTATACAAATACGTTTTCCAGACACTTAAATGGAAGATACACATATTACAGTCCTATAATATATGAATATTTACTAATAACAAGGACATTGTTTTGTATAACACCAAAGAATAATAATAAATTCAAAACTGACATAGTACTCTAGTCTACCAGCTATGCTCCAGGTTTTTGTTTTGTTTTGTTTTTTAAAGTAAATGATGTAAAGCACATTTTATTTTATTTATTTTGTTTGTTTTTATTGGTACTGAGGATTGAACTCACGACTGCATACTTGCAAGGCAAGTGCTTATGCCGCTATGCTAAATCCCCAGCCCCTATGCTCCAGGTTTGTCAAATCATGCAGTAACACCTGTACAACATCCCCCTTTCAGCATAGCTTTCTGCCCAGGGTCAAGCATTACATTTGGAGCCCTTCAACCTCCATTATTCTGAACTATTTCCACAAACTCTCTGTAAAATGTTAAGGAATATGCCCCAACTCCTTTTTAGAACTGGGATGTTCTTCTTCTGAGTTTCCTTACTACTAGGTACACACTGAATTCTTGAATTCTTGCTACACACCATGTGAGCAATGACATGCCTCTGTCAGGGGTCAACACGGAGGCAGATGACACACTCATCACATTCTCAGTGCTGACAGTAGCTCTGGTAACCTGTAACTAGATTATCTGATCCAGTACCATCCAAAACACTCACTACATTTTCATTCATAAATTAGCAATCTGTGACTTTTTCTTTTCCTTCCACTTTTTCTTTTCTTTTTTTTTTTTTTTTCTTTTTCTTTTTTTTTTTTTTTTTTTTTTTTTGAGACATAGCTTTGCTATGTAGTTCTGTCTGGCCTTGAACTCGCTGTGATCTTCCTATCTCATCCTCGTGAGTGCTGGGATTACAGGCCAGTTTTGTAATATTTTAAAATGATGCACATATCATCCTCTTAATCAAACTTTCTCCTTAAATTTACCATAATTATTCTTGTGTGGGCCAATGTTTACTGTAACTAAAGATGCTAATTATATTTTCAACTCCAGCAAAAACAAAAGTTTTCACTTTTCCTTTACATGGCTCTTACTCATATAAACTCATGGATTCCCATTTGTTCCTGAATGGTTTATAATGTTTCCCTGTAGTTGTTTTTGTGTATACAGTATATTGTCACAAATTTGGCAAGTAGAAGACCCAGGGTATAATTTAATACTGTATAATTACATTTTTTTCTACGGGCAGGCAAAGAGGCCAAATAAACTTGCACTGGGCATAGAGCAAGAACTTAAATATGTTTAAAAAATGCCTGACTAAGTTATTTCAAGGGAAAATTTCTTTCTTCTGCTTATTTTAGTTGCACTTGAGGAAACTATTCAATGTGAGATTCTGCAAATATGAAGAAAATTGGTCTAATAGAATAATCAAATCAAATTATAAGGCGTATGAAAAGCACCTACACTAGGCATGGTGGTGCACACTTGCAATCCCAGCACTAGGGAGGCTGAGGCAGGAGGATTGCCACAAGTTCAAGGCCAGCCTGAATTATATAGGGAAACCCTGCCTTTAAAAAAAAAAAAAAAAGCAGCTACTTACTTATTAAACAAGAAATATGTATGCATTTTTAAATTTTTTTATTAGGTTTTTTGAGACAGGGTCTCACTATGTATGTAGTTCAGGCTGGTCTTAGACTTGCTGTGTAACCTGGGCTAGCGTTAAGTTCAGAGATAGTCCTACCTCAATCTCCCACATGCTCATATTACAAGCATGTGCCACCACACCCAGATAAGAAATATAATTTTAAATGGCTCTGTGGAATTATGCTAATTCTAATTAAACCTGTTTTACCTGGTTTTTACAGTACATCAAGCACAAACAGCAAATACAAAATATACATATTCTAAATTTCTACTTTAGAATCAGAGTAATAAATATTATGTAAATCACTACTGTATATCTTTTGTCTAGGTCTTCCATGACTAATGGATTTCTCATAAACCCATGACTGAATCTCCCTAAGTCAAAGAAATTTAAGTTTAAATCCTTTGGCTTTACCATTTACCTCCAAATCAATTCTTACATAACAGAAGAAGCAAGACTGTTATGCATACTAGAGGTAACAAACAGATTCACATAATATTGCTGGCAAGTACTGCCTGCATTTATGAAATATCACTACTCATCCTCTATTCCCCTTTCTGTAGCCACCTTATAAAATATATACAACTTTCTTTCTGTATGATGTTGTACTATTTAAATTTTTTTCTAGTTTTCAAAAAAATTTTTATTGCCAATTTTACTTAGTTTCAAGAGATCTACTTTTTTAAATAAATCTTCTCTCCCTCATGTTTAAATTCAATACTGCTCTTATTTTCAAGAGTTCTTTAGACTCTGCTTTATCATTGATATTATCTTTCTTTTTCTGCATCTGCCTTGCTGCCTATGTAGTTTGGTTTTGTTTTTTGAGATAGGGGTTTACCTTGTAGTTCAGGCTGGCTTCGAACTCACCATAATCCTTCTGCCTCAGCCTCCCAAGTACTAGGATTACAGGCATGTGCCTCCATGCCCAGCAACTTTTTAAAAATTTTTTTACTGAAAACTTCTATATAAAATATACAGAAAAAGTCACTGTTTCAAAACTTGTATTCTTCTTAGACTGGCTACTTACTGCTAACAAGCAAAAAATGGAAGGTAGAAAACTATCAAGAGAAGGAGTAACCAAGATTTTGAGAACTCTGTGGTATTCAAATCAAAACAGAAGGAACACTGATACACAAGGAACATGCTAAGCGAGTACATGACAAATGAAGTGCTGCTGTGGATCTTGTATCTTTTTAAATCTCATTTTAATTTCTACTTTTCATTAGTACATATTTGCAATACATAATGATCATACTCCTGTGGGGAGTTGGTAAATGCATTAACACATCTTAGTTTTTTTATCATTCCTCCGTCTTTTGGTCCCCTTTCCTGTTGCAAAAGATCTACCTCCCTGTTATCTATGTTTTATCTTACTATATTTATTGTTTGAGTTTCTTCAATATTTAAAATTGTGTATCTGATTTATTTAACATTATGGTCTCAAGGTGCATCTATTTTCTTACTTGCATCCTTAAAAAGTCATAAGCAGTGCACAGGCAGACGTAAAAGGTAGTCCCAGTACTGTCACTTATTCCCATGTGTATTGTCCTTCAAGAATCTCAACTCCTACACTATTGTGATACATGGGGACACACAATTGGTTCTGACCAATGATTTCAGAATAACAACATGAGACCTTTCACACTTTCTTCACCCTCACATAGTAATTAACAAAGCCTAAGATGCCAACTGTTCCTTTAGTTTGGGACCTGAAGGGGCTAGAGTAAGTAGAAATTTCTGCCTAGCCACAGGAGACAGAACACACACACAAACAAAAACCTTCATTATTCGGGGCCCCTTGTTTATTACTGCACTATAACTAACCTATAAAAAAAATCTTCACAAATGAAAATTCAAAGACTTTCTTTCTGGAAAAATAGAATATGACAAGTCTATAGAAAGGAAGTGCTTAGGCTGAGGCAGGAGATTCATACCAAGTTTGAGGCAGCCTGGGCTACAAAGTGAGTTTAAGACTAGCCTGAACTGCATAGCAAAATCCAGTCTAAAAAGACAAAAAAAAAAAAAAAAAAAGGAAGGAAGTATTAGAATATTATTAGCACTTTCTCATTACTAAACAGTCAAAAAGTCTTAGAACAATATGACAATTTAATTAAGTTGGAGGCTATTTTTAGAGAAGTTTAAGTGGTAAATCGGTGAACTTTTGGTAAAGTATATTGTAAGGCCTCATCTAATCAGGTGAAAGCTGAAATACAATAGAAAGAATGGCCTCCAAGCCAGGAAGGGCTCTCTCAGGCCTGCAGACTCATCTGCACCTGGCTCCCAAGTCTCTAGCCAGCTGACCAGTGCTGCAGATTTGGACTTGTTGGTCTCTGCAGTTATGTAAGCCAATTTCTTAAGATTAATTTGGTATCTGCCCCCACACACATGTCCACGTACACATCCTATTAGCTCTGTTTCTCTGGAGAACCCAATTAATATGTAAGTCAGCTTCTCTTAAGGTGTAAAATACATATAAAAATAAGCAGAAAAGACTGTAATATTTAATACCTGGGATAGTGTTCCTTTTGCTAAAATACGTGTTCTTTCTTTAATTGACAAAAATCATATATATTCATGATGCACAATGTTTTCGAGTATGCATATATTATAGAATGATTAAATCAAAGTAATTAACAAATGAATACTTCACATACTTATCTTTTTGTATATGTGTGGCGACACTTAAAAATGCTATCCTCTTAGCAATTTTTGTTCAGAGTAAAAGTAAGTAATAGGGAGATAGGTCATTTTAAAACAGGAGGAGGATCAAGAGACAGAAGAGGGGGGTGGGGATTTAGCTCAGCGGCATAAGCACCTGCCTTGCAAGCAGGCGGTCGTGAGTTTGATCCCCAGTACCAGAAAAAAAGGAAAAAAAAAAAAGAGACAGAAGAGTAGGGAGGGAAGTGAAAAAGGATGAGAGGAAGGAATTGGGGCATATTATGAACATGTATCAACTCCATACAAAGAATGCAAGCATCATGTACTGCACACATGTACTAATAAACTAAAAAATTGAAAACCAAAAAGAATACAACAATGTTGTTAATTATAGTCATCATATTTGCAATCCATCTCTTGTACTTATTTCTTCTAGTCTAATTGAAATTTTGTAGCCCTGAATCAACATATCCCTACTCACCTCATCAGGACATATTATTTCAATAAAATATGATATCACTAGAACACACGAAGCATTTGCTGCGGTCTACATAGATGTTCTCTCAGTTATGAACTCTTACCACCATCTACTGGTAGCTATTCAAAATCAGGACATTACCCTGGAAACTCTGAAAATCCTATAAAAATTATTTGGTAATGAAAGGTTGAATTTTAGTAATGAAATGATGAAATCATGCTGCAAGAAATGGGAATTATTTTTAAGTAAGTGAGTCAAGTTAAACTAGAAATAGAAGTAAGGAAAATGTGAGCAAACTTTGGAAACCTAAAAAAAGAGCTCTGAAGAAGGTGATGGGATTACTCTTCCTGGTCTGGGCCTACAGGCAGGCAGAGATGTTTTTTGTGTTCTGCGCTGGCAATGCAGCTACTAACCCTAACCCTAACCCTGCTACAAACCCACCCTTCCGTATCCTTTCTACTTTCTAAAGCTGGAGCAGACACTGCAAATTGCTCTTTTTCCAGCTGCATCCTTTTGGTTCCCCCAATAACAAGTATTAAACAGCAGCAAAGTATGAAAGAGGAACTGGTTCTTTGTTTTTCTTTCGCATCAACCTAGCAATAGTTTTAACTAAAGCAATGGTGGTTTGTTTAATCTTCAGCTTATTTTTGGCCCTGTTCCTAGCCAGTCAGCAATGCCAGCAGCACCTAGCAATGCTCCTTTCTCAAAAAACTTAAGTCTCAGTGCCAATAGGCTCTCCAAACATCTAGATTTCTGCTGTTGGCAATCTCATCCCTTTGTGCACATAGCCCAAAAGATAGTAACTGTTCCCTGAAGTTGCTATTTCTGCATTATCTCAGTATGCCACTTTTGCTTTTCCAGTTCTCTGTTTAATAATTTCCTTATATTACATTCTCTTTTTTAAATATCTAGTGGTTTGCTTCCTGGCTGGACCCTGACGGACACATGCACCACAATTACAAATAGAACAAAATCGCCAGGGATATAGCTCAGCGGCATAAGTGCCTGCCTGGCAAGCGCAACATCCTGAGTTTGATTCCCAGTACCAAAACAAAAAACAGAACAAAATATTGATGGGGATTTTTAAAATATAAAATATGCCAGGTTGGTGGCACATATCTAGAATCTCAGCACTTGGGAGACTGAGGAAGGACAGACACTCACTGAGAGTTCAAAGTTAGCCTGGGTTACACAATGAGTTCAAGACCAGCCTGCACTATATAACAAGACCCTCTGTCAAAAAACAAAAGAAATTCAAACAACGACATATATATATAAAAAATATATGCATTGCATAGGTGGGCGGGGGTACAGAAATCAAACCCACACTCACGCTTGTGTTTTATCTCTGAGCCATAGCCCAGCCTCAAATGTCTCTCATGTAATATTTTTTTAAAAAGAAGAACTTTCTTTGAAAATATGTATACTCTATTTTTATTGTTGAGCTTTTAATGTTTCTTAACAAACTGTCAATATTGAACACACTTGAAAATAAAAGTTCAACCAGAGAAGGGTGCATGCCTAAAATCCCAGCACTCGGGAAGCTAAAACAGAAGGATCGCTCCAAGTTTGAAGACAGCCTGGGCTACAAAGCGAGTTCTAGGCCAGCCTGAACTGCACAGTAAGACCCTGTCTCAAAAAGACTAACAGTTCAGAGTACCTTTAATTTTATGGAGGCAGCATTTATCACAAATTCGTATGTCTCTACCTCAGAGTTAAATCTGTAGGTCATATACACATCTTTCTAGTTGTTTTCACAGCGAAGACACTCTTTAGAGAATCACACATATGACATTTGGGTTTTAAATAAACATGACTTTGACATACCCTGAAATTCTGTGTCTCCAATTCCTATATGGATCATATAAACTTTCACAAAATGCTAATGCATGGATCACAAATTCTTCAACAGCTGTCTCATCTGCCATTTCCTTCTCTTTTTTCTTGCTTTTTAACTAGGAATAGTCAAACATATTAAAACATGTATAGCATTCATTATCTAACAATACATCATTTTATTCAAGTAAGACTGAATCAAGTGTTTCCCAGGATAGCTTTAAAAAGTCAAACACTATTTGAAAAAATAATGCAATCAATAAAATATGATAAATAATAAAATAAAACTGTCATGTTAAAAAGCCACCTATAAATCACTTCCATTTTTAAACTGAAAAAAGATTTCTGAAATACAAGTTATTGGATAACTTAAATTCTCTCAATTTTTAACTTCCAAAATATTTAACTATCAACTATAATATAATACAGTAAAATCTATTCAGCCTCAATAAAGCAACAAGAAAGAATATATCAATTTACACCTACTTGCTGAATATAGAGTGTTGTCATGGTGATGACATGATTAATATATGAGCATGTTCCAATTTCTTCCACATTTGATAGATTTCTAGGAAGAAAAAAAGGAATCATATATAGGAATGGCAAATAAAACGTGCTCATGCGTGAATTCTGAGAGCAGATGTCGAGAAAATACAAATAATATTAAAACATAAAACTGTACTTGTCTCGTAAGTGTAAGTCCCTGCAATCAATCCCTAAAGTCATAAAGCAAATAAATAAAACCCAATAGTTATATAACTATTTTTCCTCTAAGAACGTAAAATATGCACCATTTAACCATTACCATTTAACATTCTGAATTATAATTCTCTTTTAGATTTACGTGATATTACTCTACTATATTAAAAGTCCTTCACTGATCCACTGAGACATCCTTACATATTCTCGAAGGCAGAGTATTACACTGTTGTTTGAAGCATCAGGTCATAAGTGCTTGAACCTTAATTAAAATACAACCCTCATTTTACTCCATTTCTTAATGGAGTAAATAAGACTGATGTATGCATAGTAATACAAATGTGCATCAGGAGCTGAGTGCAGCATAGTGCTAAAATGTTTTTCAAGGCCAGGCCCTAGGTTCAACCCTCAACACCGGAAAAAGTACGTATTTTTCAGTAAGCAGCATACAAAAGGTACTGGTATAATCACTGAAGTAAAACCTTTGGTTATTGTCCTCATGCTAAAGCAACACTTAAAACTTTTGGCTAAGCATCTCTGTAATTAGCTGCACTCAAAAGGTTTTGCAATGCATGAAGAAATGACAAACCAATTACAAAACGTGGTTATACTCTTCAAGATCTGCATGAACAACAAATATCATTAATAATCAATGCTACGGCTTATATCTAGATGTTCCTTCAAAGTCTCACGGGGTCATAAGTGCAGCTTTTCAGAGATGTCTGGATCTAGGTAGGGTGTGTGATGATGGAATTAAGACTGTGATGCGGGGCTGGGGATTTAGCTCAGTCGTGAGTTCGATCCCTGGTACCGATAAAAAGGAAAAAGACAAAAAAAAAAAAAGACTGTGATGCTAGGATTTGATTCATGGTGGGACACCAGGATTAAGGGTGACCCCATTCTATGCGCAAGTGCTACCCAACCTAAGGGCAGAATATAAGAGACAGAAAGAGGGCTACTGCTTGCTACTTCACTGCCTTGCTGCCTTCTGCCTGCCATGAACTGTTTCTCCTTTGCCATGCCACCCTGCCTTAGAGCCAGTCAACTATAAACTGAGACCTCTACAAACTGTGAGCTATAATAATCCTTCCTCCTTTGACTTTTGAGTGTTGAGTATTTTGTCTCAGCAATGACCAAAGTAATAAACACAATCAATAAATGGGCAGGTGCAGTGGCACACATCTGTAATTTCAGTGCTCAAGAGGCTGAAACAGGATTGCCCAAATTTGAAGCCAACATGGGTTTACATAGTGAGTTCAAGACCAGCCTGAACTATATAGTGAGAGTCTGGTTTCAAATAAGAAATAGCCAGGCTGGGCATGTGATGCACACCTGTAATTCCAGTACTGGGGAGGCTGAGACAGGAGGATTTCTACAAGTTCAAGGCCAGCCTGGACTACATATTGAGTTCAGGGACAGGGACAGCCTGAACTACGTAGCAAGACCTTGTCTCAACAAAACAAAACCAACCCAAAACAAAACAAGAAACAAAGCATATACACACACAAATCTCAAAACCAAGAAATCTATTCTTTTTGATAATTTTTTTTTTTTTTTTTTTTTTTGGTACCAGGGATTGAACACACGACCTCACACTTTGCTGGGCAGGCATGGTGCCACTAAGCTAAATCCTTGGCCCTGTAATAATTATTTTTAAATACATGATTTGTTTCTATGTCTATGCACATACCTGCAAAGAATAATAAAGAACTTCACAAGCAAAATTGACAAGGCTTGTTGTTGTTCCTCCAACCCATCAGCCACTTTCTGAACACACTGTAGTAGCTGAATCCTCAGAACTTGCAGAATATTATCAGGAAGTAGAGATATTCCTGGAGGCACATCATCTACCCTACAATTGAGGGAAAGAAAATAGTGTTGAAATACAGAAGAAATCTCTAAAACTTAAATGAACAGCGTTTTTAACCTAAATCCTAAGGAAGTTAAGGAAGTTCTTTTAATTTTTTCCAGAAGCTCTGTAACTTCTTGTCTGTAAGCACAACCAGATTGGTAACTAGATTACAGCAGAATGATTAATTTTATATCAGAGGAAAGAAGACTCATTTTCAATTGTTCTATTTTGAATTAAAATATGTGTAACAGGGCTGGGGATACAGTTCAGTGGCACAGCACCTACCTGGCAAGTGCAAGGTAGTGAATTTAAGTCCCAGTATAAAAAATATGTAACTATATAATTTACATATAAAAGTTCACAAATAGAAATTTTATCATCTGGTTTACTGAACACTAATGCACTACTTATCCAATCCCTAAACATATGATTGTAAGAGGGCAAAGTGATAAATACTGAAAGAAGAAAGATGAGAAGATGAACGTAAACCTCATACATGTAAGAATTTTTAGAGCAACAGATCACTATTTTGTGATAAATGTCTTCTGTGTAACAAGACAAATGATGGCAAAGTGCACAGGAGACCTAAGTGGTTCCTCTGTGTCTCCTTCACAATAAACTGTGACACCAGAGTCACAGTTAAACCCTAGGGAACACGTTCCATCTCTAACATGGTGCTGGCCATTCAATCTCTGAAGTTCCTCAATTTATGAAATTTTACTATCATCTGACATATTTTCACAGGGTTCGAAAACCAGAATGTCAATATGGTTTTTTTGCTGTGAAATACATAAAAAATTATAAAAATGTATAAACCACCACTGAAGCCAAAGAATTTTTCCATAAACCACTATATAAATGCCCAAATCTTAGGAAAGTAAAGAGCTCCTATAATTAAATGACTTATAATAATTGATGTCTCTTCAGATACTGCTTCACGTGAGCTACCACTAATACAGTTCTTTAACACTGAATGAAAGATTGACTCACTGCAGGACAAAAAAATACATAATACAATTAGCCCCCTTATGAATCATTCTCCAAAATAACTAAAAACTTTTTATAAAATTAAAGCCTAAGTTTAATTAACTACAGACAGTACTGTCCAAAGCACATTATAAAGACTAACAAATTCTATAACTATGTTACAAAAGTACCACACTACTTATGCATGAGAACTATGTCAGCTGTAGCTTCACATTTGTTTATTCTCTTACTCATAAGCAGCACCAGAAAAACTCTCATTGTCATACATATACGGTGAAGAGTTCAAAAGAGGGGCTTGGAAAAACCAGAGTAACTCAAGATAATAAGGACTAAAATACAATTTTGAGAATAAATTAATCTCTTTATTCTTCATTTTTCAAAAAAATGTCAAAAGAAGGAAAACTATTTTTTGATAATCCACAATAGTTTAAAGCACTATTTCCTTTTATCCTTGGTCTTTCCATTCTACACTGTACATTTTGTAAAATAACTATCAAAAGTAATCAGCTTCTTAACAAGCAATATATCTTTTTGTTTTGTTTTGAACTAGTGCTTATTATAAAATTAACCTGTTGTTGAAACATTTCTTACAGGTAAAATTCTTGACCACGTTTCTACTATGATAAACATTTACAAACTTAGAAGCACTTTATTAGAACTTTACTGCCCAAAATTATACGCTTTTTTCGTTGAAATTTCCCAAATCCAAAACTTTGTTCCCTACCTCTGTTGACTACTGAATACTGAATGGCAGTAATAATTGGATCTAACCCAGGCAGAAGCCTACCTTAAAGTTTGTTCAAGACTTTAAATTCTGATAAAAGTAATCTGCCTTGCATTATGAACTCTAATTCAGAAATGTACTTTACATGACAGTTTTCATGAGTTTCTTACCTGTACTAATTTTACAGTGTCTTGCATATAATCTGCGCTTGAAAATATTTTCTATTAGTAAAATCTATATTCGTGCCCCGTGGGGATTTTTTAGTTTTGATTCTGAGGTACTGAGAATTGAACCCAACACCTTTGCATTAAGATATAACCACAGTCTTTTTTTCACTTTTTGACACATGATGTCACCAGGTTGCTAAATTGCCCCAGCTGGGCTTGTACTTTTGATCTTCCTATTTCAGAGGCCTGGAAACACAATTTTAAATAAACTAACTACAGCCGGGTGTGGTGGCACATCCCTGTAATCCCAATGATCAGGAGACTGAGGCAGGAGGATTGCTGTGAGTGCAAAGCCAGCCTGGACTATATACTGAATTCAAGGCCAGGTTGAATTATATAGAGAAAGACCCTGTCTCAAATGAAACAATAAACAAAAACAACATAAGAAAAAACAAAAGCTAACCACACAGCAAAGCAAAGCTCTTAACATTTTTCATCTTCATTCTAAATTAAACTCTGTTGCACTATAAGTCCATGCAATGTTTTTTAAAATGATTCCCCTTTATAACGTATGGATGGTGATAACTGTACATTAGAAACTTGAGAAGCCTCACTCCAATACTCGAAATATTCAGAGGCCCAAACCCTCACTCCCTAAAATTGAAAAGCCCACGATTCAAAGTGAACTCTAAATTATTAAAGTAAAAGCAAAGTCACATGCAGTGGCACACTCCTGTCATCCCAGCTGTGTGAGAGGCTGAGGCAAAAGGATCACAAGTTTGAGCCCAGCCTGGTCAACTTAGTGAAATTTTCATCTCAAAATAAAAGTCTGTAGATACATAGTACCCCTGAGTTCAGTTACTGGTACTACAAAAATTAATTAATTAAAGTACTTCTAGGCACAAACTACATGAATACTCTTTTATTAGTAGAAATTGAGGCATAATCTTAAGAAAATTCTATCAATACCCTAATGAGAAAGAAATCAGAAACTGTATTTATAAAGTACTGGTCCTTCCTCAGCACCATCTCATCTAGTAATTTCTTCTCCAGATTCTTCTCTTCCTGGGTTTCCTGCATTTAGTCCAAATTTCCAATTCTCCCTGGGCAGGGCCAACAAAACAACTTGAGAAACAAACTTGGTAACAACTTATTACCAAGAAACTTTACTGTTTTGTAGTTGGGTATTTAAATCAGGGCCTCACCCATGCTACATAAAGGCGCTACCACTGAGTATACTTCTACACTCCCATTGGTTTTATTTTGTTTTGTTTTGCTTCTGAGACAGTCTCCCCACATTGTATAGGCTGGCCTCCAACTCACAACCCTCCTGCCTCATACTCCCAAGTAGCTGAGATTAGAAAAGCCACCATGCCCAGCCAAAACTTTAAGTTGCATTAACTATTTTTTTTAAATCAAATCCATTAACAATGCAATCACAGTATTTGGTCCCTGTATGATTCTCCAGACTCAACTCTCACTACTACCCTCCAACTGCCTGTTTGTTGTTGTTTTGTCTTTTTGAGACACAGTCTCACTATGCAGTTCAGGCTGCCCTTGGGCTCACTTTGTAGCCCAGGCTGGTCTCAAATTTGCAACATCCTCCTGCCTCAGCCTCTCGAGTGCTGGGATTACAGGTGTGCACCACCAAACCTGGCTTGACTGCCAGTTTTTATTCCCAAATTTTAACACTATTTATTCCTTACAGATTTTTAATTCTCCAGTACTGTTTCTCTTCACTAACTACAACATTTCCTCCTTCTTCCCTCAACATATATCTGTAACTGGAACTTTTTTGAGGCTGTCTCTATTTCTCCGCCTTTTTACCCCAGGCAACTTCTCTGATCTACCAACTACTGGGCTTTTCAGACAGCTTGAGAATTAGAAAAAAAAAAAAAAACTTTATCTTGTACATAGCCAAGAAACTAAGAGTCCAGAAATGATGGCAGGTGGTGGAAAAGAAGATCCGTACTTTCAGTTGTACATAAAAATCTGAATTTCCCTTTTTTTTTTGTACCTGGAATCAAACTTACAACTTGTGCATGCCAGACAGGCACTCATGCTGCTGAGCTAAATCCCCGGCCCCTATTTATCTTTTTTTTTTTTTTTTTGACACCAGGGATCCAACTCACAACCTTGCACTTGCCAGGGCAGGTACTTATACCGCTAAGCTAAACCTCTGGCCCATTTTTTATTCTTTATTTGGTACTGGGAATGTAACAGAGCCTTGCATTTGCCAAGCTGAAGCTTGTGCCACTGAGCTATATCCCTGGCCCTCATTTTTCTTTTTGGTCTTTTTGAGACCAGGTCTTGCCATGAGTCCAGGCTGGCCTTGAGCTCACTTTGTAGCCCAGGCAGATCTCAAACTCACAACAATTCTCCTGCCTCACCCTCCTGAGTACTGGGATTACAGGTGTGCACCACCACACCCACCTCATTTTTTAAATATAACTTGTAAAAATCTCAATTTTTTGCCTTCTCTCAAGGCTCTCTTTTGAGGCTGGAAATAAGCCATGTGCTTGTGTTTCCTGACCGGTGACACACTGATGCTCTGAGAGGTAACATGTCCTGGTTCCATGGAGAAAGGACATTGGAGCTTTGCATCCAGGACCCTTCTAGACCCTGTCCTATGTGTCCTTTACAATAAAGCTGTATCATATGGTGAATTGTTTTGGACTGTCTAAGAAATTCCTGAACTTGAAAAGAGGATAAAAACCCTAAATTAATAGTTGGTCAGAAATGTAGATGTCCCCCCAAACTTGTGAGGGATGTCTGAAGTGAAGCCAGCCTTGTGGAAGGCTTTCCCTTTAACTTGAGACCTGATGCGAATCCTGGAGAGCTGGCATCAGAAATGAGTGAACTGCAAGGCACCAGTGGGTAATGTCTCACCAACGCAAAGAGGCTTCAAAAAGCCAGGTCTTGTACCAACAAGTAAAACTGCTATGATTAATACTTTTTGCCATGATAATAGTCATGCAGGCTACTAAGAGTGCTGACACATTTGTCACCATTATAACATGTCAGCATTGACATTTCTGTGCCAAAAACAGCAAGAGTAGTAAAGTTGGGTGTCTACATACCTGGTAGGCAGTTTTTCAAAATCAACATCTAAAAATTGTTCGTAGCTAGAAACAAAATTGTCCAACCACAGCTTCAGGTAATCTGGATCTTTCTGAAATTAGAAAATCATTACAAAAATGATTACATTAGTATATTTGTTAGGAAAAATAATGCTTTCACAACTGAGTAGCTACATAAAAGAAGCAACAATATGAAATCTCTAAGCAATATTCAGCAAAAGCTATGTGCTCTTTTACAAAGTGTATTAAGTATAATGAAATGGAAACAGGCTTATGTTAAATGAGGAGAGAAAGAAGGATGGAAGGGTGAGGGGAATGGCAAAAAAGAACTGAGACATGTTATGTTTAGGTGCAAATTCTCTATGATGTGTATGATCAGTGACAAATATAGACTAATAAAGTTTTAAAAGTGTAATAAGCCTTTAAATGGCTTTCCACATCACTCAATGAAGTCTTACCAGTGTCCTCTGGGATTCTAACCAGTTTATTCTCTTATCACTCTGTGCCTTTCCCACTGCTACACTCGATTGCCTCATGCCTACTTCTTGGACATGGCAGACCTTTTTCTCTACCCAGAATGCACTTCTCCCAGGCATCTGAACAGATGACTCCTCCATCTTCAAGGTTTTGTTTTGTTTTGTTTTGTTTTTGAGAAAGGGCCTTGTTATGTAATTCAGGCTGTCCTTGAATTCACTGTGTAGTCTAGGCTGGCCTCAAACTCACAGCAATTCTTTTACCTAAGCCTCTCAAGTGGCGGCATCACAGGTGTACACAACACCTGGCTTCAAGTCATTCTTTAAATGATATATTCTCAGAGGCAAAATCTGTCAAGCCAGGCATAGTGGCACATGTCTATAATCCCAGCACTCAGGAGGCTGAGACAGGCAGATCATAGCAAGTTCAAGATCAGCCTGGGGTACAAAGTGAACTAAAGGCCAATCCGACCTGCATCGTGAGAATCTGTCTCAAAAAGACCAGAAATCAAAAAACAAAAAGTCAGTGTCTTTTATCCTATTGTTCTTTTTCCCATCATCCTTTATAATATTGTGTGATTTACTTATTATCTGTCACATTCCCTAGGATATAAATTGACACAGGATTTTTCTTATTGGCTAATGGCTACCAAGTACCTAAAACAGTGCCTAGCACCAAGTGCTCAGTAAATTTTTTTTTCAGTGAATTAACAGGAAGAACAGTGCTCACTTTGGCAACACATATACTAAGACAGAAAATACAAAATGCAACAGAATCACACTGGAAATGGATCACTAATCGAAACACTAAAACTAAACCCACTATCTTCCAGAAAATAATACAGTGGACATGGAGATAAAGATTTTTTTTTTCTTTCTGGTACACAAAGTTCAAGAATCAAAAGAGAAAACTGGTATTGATTAAAATTAAAGGCTATGGCTATGTGTATCTCAGCAGTAGTCTATTCCTAGCACACATGAGACCCTAGGTTTAATCTCCAGCACGAATAAGTAAAACAAAATAAATAAGCAAGTACTTCCATTCATCACTCATTAAAAGACACTATCAAGGAAATGGAAGGCAGGGCTGAGGATGTGTCTCAGTAATACCACATTTATCTAGCATGTCTGAGGCCCTAGATTCAATCCTCCGCACCACACACATTCACACGTGTTGATGAAAATACTCAAATATGTCTTAGACATTTGTATCAGCATCTGAACATCTACAAATCCATAACAAAAGAACAACTCAATTTTTTAAGTGAACACTTGACAAAAGGGGCTACACAAATGGCCAAATAGCACATAAAAATGTGTTATCATTAGTTGCCCAAAGAAATGCAAATTAAAACAAATGGAATATATCTATGTGTTTGTGTGTGTGTGTGTGTGTGTGTATTCCTCATTAGAATGGAAAAAGTTGAAAAGGCTGAAGATATTGTGTTAGTGAAGATGTGAAATAACTGCAGCTCTACACATTATTGGTAGGAATATAAAATGGTATGACCACCTGGATAACAATTTGAGTTTCCTCTAAACATATACATACTACTCAGCCATTCTTTTTCCACAGAAATGAAAACACCTGCACAAAAATGTTCATAGAAACTTTATTTTTAATAGTTCAAAGCTGGAAACACACACAAATTCTATCAATAGGTTTATGGATAAAGAAATTGGAGCATACTCACACAATGTGGTACCATTCAGGAATAAAAATCTCTTAACTACTGATATAAGAACACGTACAAATTCACAAAACCTACTGAGCAAAAGATGCCAGGAATCTGTGTGTACAGGCTGAATTTATTTCATTTATCTGAAGCATAGGTCTAGAAGAGGCTACACTGACAGGAATCAGGTTAACAACTTGCCTCTGAGAGGACCAACAGCAAAGGGGAAAGGGAACTTTTCTAATGGTGGAAATGTTTTCCATTTTTTCTCCTTTGTGGTGCTGGGATCAAACTCAGGGCCTCACGCGTGCTTAGGCACTGAGTCGTATCTCAGCCCTGAAATTTTCCACATTCTGATTAAGGTAATGCTTTGCATGTATCAAAATTCATCATCTGTGACACTGTAAACTGTGCATTATGACCAAAGTAAAATCTCAATAAAACCAAGTTTTAAAAAATTATGTCTCAGGGTTGGGGATTTAGCCCAGCGGCATAAGTGCCTGCCTTGGAAGCAGGCAGTCGTGAGTTCGATCCCTGGTACCGATAAAAACAAAAAAGACCAAAAAAAAAAAAAAAATTATGTCTCTCAGAAATTTTTTAAAAGTATAAATTGTATGTTAAAAAGGATGTCAATATTTTTCCATTGGGCTTCTCGGTACTTCTTTGCACCAGTCAATTACAGCATGTGACTCAGCAGTTTTAAAACATCAATGTGTACATGCTGCTCTTGGATAAGGGAAATCAAGCAATTTATTTCCCTAAAATAAAAGCATTACACTGTAATTCAAAATTTAAAAGAATGTTCCCAGAATATGCACAGACTTTGACCTTTTGTGTGTTTATTTTTTCTAATAATATACTGTTCGAAATCAGCTTGTAAAGTTTCCTTGTCTACATTATTACTGAGAAATCATAAGATGGAAATTAGACAAGAACAACCCCGTGAGAAATTTTCTCAAGAGTTTCATTACTTTTTTGTATTTCCAACTAGAATGTCATTGACCTGCCATTCTTTCATCTGTCCATTCAGGTTAGAGTCCAGAAATACAAGTGTTCAGAGTTTCATTATCATGTCTCCTTTCTCAAAGAACAGAGGATTATCTCTCAGTAAAAATTAAGACACAAGGGGCCAGGGATATAGTTCAGTGGACAAGAGCCTGCCTGGGAAGTGTGAGGTTATGAGTTCAATCCCTGGTACCAAAAAAAAAAAAAAAAAAAAAATTAAATACAAAATCTTCACGTTTCTCTCTATATTTAAGAACTCTATAGTATCTAGTTCAAATTCTAAAGGTCAGTAATACTAGTGTAAGCCAACAGCTCTCTAAAGAAATTGAGTGATGTAAGCAAAGAAATGGTATTATTTCACTTACTAAGAAGTAAAACACTCCATTTGTAAGGCATTTGCTATGTGCTAAGTGTTACAGTAAACATTTTGACATACACTGTCCTATTAAGTGCTTATTACTATCCAGAAAAAAGACAACAGTCCCTATTTTATAAGTTATAAAACTGTAACATATGAACTTGATGAAGATCGTACAGCTAGTAATTGACAGTGTTGGGGTTAAAGTGCAAGGATACATGAAACCAACAGATGCTCTTTGCACTGCACTGCACTGTCTCTGAACTGGACATGAAGGAAATGGAGCTTCAATAAGCAAAAAGGAAAAGCATGTACAGAGAAGTTAACACAAAGTCTGAAAAAATCCTGAGAATTTTTGCTGTCAAAAAAAAAAAAAATTAAGAGGATAATTTGCTGCCAAAGGCCAGAAAAGATCTCCACACATTCAGAAACAATGCTAAACCTCTGAGGTCTGCATCCCCACTGCTACAATGTTTATTTATTAACACAGCTCACAGATTCATGAAGTATGCAGGAGTGCTGGAGCCAGTTCGGCTGGACTGTCACTTTCTTGAACAAGTAACTCTAAGGACAGGATCTATACTAAAGGATTGTCATGAAAACTAAATAACTTAATAAATGTCTCCATCTTAACATAATGCCTAATACACAGTAAATACTTAGTAAATATCAAATTAATATTCTCTTCATAAGCTTTGTTCACAATTAGGATTCCCAAAAAATGGTATGTTCTATACTTCATATATATAAACTATTTCATGATCCCCTTTACCAGTCAATTTTAATTGTATTCTTGGATAAAGAAACTCAAGCAACTTACTTCCCTAAAACATTACCGTTTAATTCAAAATTTAAAAGAATGCTCTCAGAATACTCATTTAATTGTGGGGATCTTAAGAGGCTATTATCAACAGTTCATTATTTTCAGCCCTTTTCCATTTCTAACATATAATACTGTATTTGAAGCTGTAAATATTCCTAATATCTCAAGTTCTAGGGCCAGAGACATAGCTCAGCAGCACAGAAGCTGACAAGCACAAGGCCCCAAGTTCAAGTCCCAGTACCAAATGAAAGGAAGGAAGGAAGAAAGAAAGAAAGAAAATAGTAACATCCAAGTTCTAAAACATACTTTTGTCATTCAATTTTAAAAATCTAATGCTCCTTTAAGTTGTTCTTCAACCAAGGTTTACCTTAAAATGTATTTCTTGTCTTCCAGTTTATTTTTTAAAATTTTTTGCTGGCATTAATGGTATTTCACTCAAAAAACATATAGTAAGACAGATGTTTTGGTACATGTCTATAATGCTTGCACTCTAGAGGCTGAGGCAGGAGGACCTCCAGGAGTTGGACCAGTATGGGCTATGTCATGAGTTCAAGACTAGCCTGAACTATACAACAAGACCCTGTCTCAAAAACAAAACGGCACATACCTGTAAGTGCCAACACTCAAATTACTGTGATTTCAAGGCCAATCTAAACTACATAGTCAAACTCTGTCTCAAAAAGACAAAAACAAACTACAACAACAAAAAAATTCAAAACACAAAACCAAAAACATACTATTATTTCAGTAATCTGAA